AAAAATAGATCATAACTAAATTTATGCTATTTTTAAGCTAAAATTGTTACACGAACTCTACAGCTTAAGGGATAGGTAAAATATCAATTATGACTTAAGTCACCTTAAGCCTATCTAAGTTATAAGTGTTTGCTAACTTGTTGTTCTCTGTAAATACCTATGTTCGATCTGCTATAGTAAATATTTATTTTCATATTAAACAACTCTGCAAATAAATTATTCAATATATCAATGAATGGCCTATCAAGATCATTATCTTTTTTAATTTTTTTCTAGCTTTCTGAGCAAAAGGATTTATAGTCTTCAACTGATTTATAAAAAGAAAAATACTAACACTAAAAGATAAAAAGAACAAAATGAAAGATGGAAAGAAAAAAACTGCCTAAGTAACAAGAATAAATAAAAAAAAAACAAATAAAAGAAGAAGAAAAAGACAGAAAAAAAACAATTTATAAAAATACTATTATAGCCCATACTAGATATAAGTTGTAAAAAATTATATACTAAATTTAAAAATCATATATATCTCTGTTGTAAAGCTAAGCCTTATCATTAAAAATTTTTCAACTTTACTATCCAGTCTGGGTCAGTTCATTAACCAAAGTACTAATAAATTCATTATATAGTATAAAAACATTATTGTCAAACAATCCTGTGCTTATATTCTAATTCATTTGTCTAAAATGAAAAGTGTAAACAATGTTGATCTTTTGGAGAAGATAAACTGGAATGCCCACTTTTTGTTAAAATTTTTGTAGAAGTGGCAAAGGTGAAATAAAGAAAAAAACTACTTGTATACAAAATAAAAAAGTGTGAGCTTCTTTTACTAAAATCAAATACAGTTTATACTAAAAAGTGTATAGTACTAAGTTTTTTTAATAAGTAATAAACTCTGAGCTTGTTGGCAGATAGCATATGAGAACTATCTCTAAATAACAAGTACTGTGTCTGTCACCACAATAAGTAATAAACTCTGAAAAAATTGGCAGATAACATATAAAAACTATCTCTAAATAATAGTTACTATTCTAAGATCTTTTTTTGTATATTTTATAGTCTAGTATAGCCATTTGTATTTTTTCTAGTAAAAAGTTTTTTGGAAATTTTTGGTAAAAGTAATTATTGGAAAGAATAAAATTAGTAGTTTGTTTTAATATTAAATAATAATAATAATAATAATAATATATAATATATAATATTTTTTAGTTTATAACTTTTTCTAATAATCACTTGAACCAAAATTCTTACTGAAAAAAAACATAACTTTTGTTAGAGAGTTATGGCCTAATATAGCAGTTTGTCTAGAGGTCAACAGTTTTACTCTTCTGGGACTCCTTTATAAGTTGTGTGTTCAATATACAAGCCAAAAGCATTAGTATACAAGATAACTGGCTAAAGATATGTGCCCTTGAATACAAAATTTTGGTGGAAAGGCAATAGTCTTTCTGTTAACAAAGTTACTTAGGCTGTTACTTCTAGAAAAAAAATATAGAGGAAACAACAGAATTTTGCTTTTCTTCAAGCTGTACTCTTTTACTTGGCCAAGTGGTTCCTCTTTTACTCCTACTCGCCCTCCTGTTGGTCTTTCAAAAAATTTTAACAAAAAGTAAGAATTTGGCTCATCTCTTTAAAAGATCGATATTGTTTATTCGGACGGATTAGCAAAATACAACCACATGTTTGTTTATAAACGAATATGGTGCTACTTCAAGAGACTTAGCCTAGAAACTCTAATTATAGTAGCAGGTGGCTTGAGACATGGATTCTTAAACAATAGCAGCACTTGACTTAAGATATAAATTAGAATGGGCAACGAAGCTATTTGGAGTTGGTAGAAGGTTGGAAAGTAAATTTAATATTAAGGTGAAGCTTTATAGTCAAGATATACAAATGTTGCATTTGTTATATAATTTTTATACTTGTCTAGTACAAGTTATAATAGTGCTTTCATAGATTGTTATATTTTTTTCTGTTTTTTTTTTTTTGCAATTTGTATCTGTTTTTTCTTTCTTTTTTGTTTTTTGTTTTTCTTTTGTTTTTGTACAACCTTTTTTGAAAATTTTCTCCTTTTGTCTTGTGCCTTTTGAGAAGAAAAAGAATTAGAAGAGAAAGTTTAATAGTTATAAATAGGTCATACAATAGCTAGCGAAGTATTAAGAGAGTATCTTTATAGTACTAAATCTTTAGAAAGTTCTGGATTCTGAGAGAAGTAAATAGTTGTTATGACAGGTCAACTTGGGCAATATGCTTGGGTAGCTTTTATTGAATAGAACTATATTCGTTAAAAAATTGTTGTATTTATTTATGATAGTTTATACGAAGTTTATATAAATAAAAGCATGACTGTTTTAGAGTTAATACCTCTATTCGGTAGAGATTGGAATCTGTTTAGTCAACTACTATGTTTAGTCGACTAATTAGTTGACTAAATATAGTAGCTTACTATAAAAATTTTTTAGTCGACTAAACCGATTCCAATCCTTACTATCTAAATTTATATATCCAGATATATACTATGTCATGTATGACATAATGTTTTTATATCCAGATATAAATAAATCTGAATTTAAATTTATATCCAGATATAAATAAATCTGAATTTAAATTTATATCCAGATTTATACTATGATAAAACCGGATTAATCTGGATATAAAAAATATATCTGGATTGAGGTATTAACTCTAAACTGTTTAAATATATATATATATATATAATACTGTATCTTTTAATATTGTAATATTAAATATATAGTATAAGAAACTTATATATATGGATCTTGATATAATTATAGATATTTTTTAAATAATTAATGAATTAGAAGTAAATGGTACAAATAAAATATCTGCAAGTTCAATAGCATCTAAGATTATAAAGGTCTGTAAAAAAAAAATAGTAATTTGTATATATACTATAAAAAATATTATAAACAAATCAAGACTACTTTGTTTACATATTGGTGTAATTGTTGCTATGAGCTTGAAAAAAGAATAAAAAAAAAATGATGATAAAAATAAACAATGCAATACTGTAATAGAGGACTATGATATCTTGTTAATTCTCTTGAAAAGATAAGTATATCATTTTTCTAGAAGGTTTGTTATTATATATATATAGTATATATATTAAAAAAAACTTCTAAATCTAATATTTTTAATTAGGTACAATGAAATTCTCAATATCTTTTTATTACGGAAGCTAAGAAAACTTTATGAAAAAATATTTGATATTAATCTTAATTAACCAATTTAATGATTAGTCTTGTAAATACAAAAAACCAAAATATATATAATAAGAAATTGAGTACTAAAGATATTGAATTTGAATCTGAAATTTTAAGAAAAAATTAAAAACTCTTTATGAGTGTTAATATTTTCATATTTTATATTAATTTTATGTTTTAGGTGCTTGATTGTCTAACAATCTTCTCAAGCAAAAAAAAATTTGAAGTATTGAATCGAACTTTAAACTTATTCAAAAAAATAGAGTGCATCATAACCACTGCTTTGACAATAAACATTCTTTCTTTTATAGTTTCTGATATTCTCATAGTATGCTAGAATATTGGGGAATTTATAGTAAATAAGATATACTCTAATTATTGAAAGCATCATCATAAAATATTCCAACTTGCAAGTTTTTTAGTTAGTTGATAATAATGATACATATACTTAATTTTATTGTTTTATTTATTAGTGGGTCAGATATAGATATTATTTGTGAAGTTTCTAGAGTCCAATCTATTATTCAATATAAAAATTGGACTGCAAATAATATAGATGACTAATTAATTATTTTTAAAAGCTATTAAAATAAAACATTTTTAACTAAAAATTTTTTTATAGGTCTTTTAGTTATGGATAAGTTGTTAGGAGTACTTTTTAGAACCAAACAACTGAAGGAAACTATAGATATTGTGGTAGGCCTCTCTGTTGGTAATTTTGAATATGGAGCCTTTGAGACAGCAATAGAAGTTAAAACATCTGTGTATTACATTATTATAGCTAGTAAGCTAAATTTTGCTTGCATATCTTTAATGTAGTTCTTGACCGACTTCATAAAGAACCTTTCAACTTTCTTAACTTATCTTAAATTTCATCATATTTATCTGCCTATCATTATAATAGATTCACAGATGTTTTATAAGAATATAAATGTTTTGGCTTTATTTTTTTTGTTCTCATTCTTTAGTCTCTTAAAGCAAACTGTTTCTGTATATTTATATTAATAAAGCTTGCTTTGGTGGCTTGATTTCATATACATAAATATGTTTACTTTTGCATGTGTATTTTATGAATTTATTTTATTATATTATTATTATTATTATTATTATTATTTTTTTATATTTAGGTGACCACTTAGGCCCCTGGCACTTTATTAGTTCAAACGGGTGGGCTGTCCGAAGACAGCTT